GGTATGACTAACCGGTGGAGTCCGCAAAAGCCGCCAGGAGCAAAATCCGCAAACAAAGTTCCTCCAGTCAGCAGCGGTCTTGTGGTCAATAGATAATTCTTCTGAGCAGAATCCGATTTTTGCCAAATTTTTGGACCATCAATAAATGAATAGAATTAATGTTTTAAACTCCATCCTTGACCACCCCAGCCAAGTTGCCTTTCGAAGACCGGTTCCTTTCCCACACTGTCCGGCATTACACCTCCACCTGTTAGAAACAATCGAAAGTGTCATTTGGTGGCCATTGTCGCATAAACGTTGCTGGTGCTTTATAAAAAACGTACTACCGTCTCCTTGTCATGAAGGAGAGTTGAAAGCATCAGAAAGTTTATCTAAGTTCTTACTTCCGAACGGAGAAAATGTTTGGACGAAATAAGCCTAGATGCGGATAAGGAATTGTTTTCTTCAAAAATAGGTCAAGGTTGTGTGCGTACACTAAATTGAAGCTGGCAAAAGGTGGCTGGTCTTAACCTTTTGCACATACACTTTTTGCATTAGTGGCGAGGCTCATCTAGAAAAGATCCGGAATATCATCAGCGATAAGCCGATTACTTCATGTGTTTCGTGGTGATGTTTGTTTGTTCGCTCAATCAATATTGGGTCACAAAGAGGTGCAAGGCGCTTTCCGTTACAAAGTGCGCGCACATACGTGTGCGGCACCAGTCAGAGACATTCGAGGCTAGGCTACATACACCCGTTTCACCCTGTAATCCCTCTGAGTGAGTATCGCTCCCCTGGCTTGTGTGAAAATGCATGTCGAAATCACTTGTTTGGGGACAGGAATTGAGAGAGAACTTAGGTGAAGTCATGCTCATGACTTGTTAGAATAAAGTCCTGTCCGACAGATCACCGGTTGTTGGCGCCCCCCCTAATCGAACTTGTGTGGCCGGTGATCCGGCCGAAGTCAGGCTAGGATCAGTGTTCAGCAACGAAACAGCAGCTAAGTCAAATCACCTGACTGAATTCACGGAGCAAACGTCTTCCGTTTTTTGTCGTCCGAGTAAAGCTTACGAGGAAGCCAGGAAAAGATAACCAACGTTACACAGTAAAAATGAATTTACGACTGGGATCACAAATTGGAGGTCAATTCAAACAAAAAGGGTCAATGCGAATTCACCAAATCAGTGACAACTGGATAAAATCGGTCCAAATCTTACTGGAACAATACCAAGGAGTAAGTGAGATCACAACTTGAGGAAATTAGTTCCTAATGGAGTGGCCAACGGACGCCTTAAATTTGTGTAAACTGTGGATAAACCTAGGCAAGCAAACACGACAAACGAGTTTCTCGAAAACAATGCAAGAAAATCCGACGATCACGACCACTTGATTGATGATATTCACATTGAGAACTGTCGCGCCAAATAGTTGCTACGCTACCATTGGAAGTAGAACAAACTTGCAGCATCCTACTGGCTCAGTTTGTCCACTTCAGTGCACAATGGGGGGGCTAGAACTAAGGTTTGTCGAAATCAAAGCGACCAAATGCCAGTCGAATTCAGCCACGTCAAATCATCACTAGTAATCAGACAAATGCCAGTCTGTTGAAGGACTCAGGATATGTCCTAGATGATACATATATGTGTGAAGAATCACATCATGCTAATCAATGGGAAAATGTCTGGAACCAAGTGAGAAGTCATTGTCTCAGAAAGATTTGGTAGTCAAACGGAAGTTTCATAAAACGTAGACCTACTATACAGTCTGGACCGCAGATGATTTCATAACAACCCGTCCAATGACAAACGTCTAGATTTTTTGTGGAACTCAGAAGTTAAAACCTCTTGTATGTCACATTACTCTTTCGAAGGCAATGCTGATGACAATATCCGAGCACGAAATGGACGCTTGGTGGGGTCACCATGAAGTAGCCGAGCTAAAACACCACGCTTAGAGTTGAAGCAGGAAATTTGTTCCAAAATAGGCTTATTTGGGACAAAACTTGAAAAGTTCATAGGATTTTCTTCCCTATTCAACCCATCACTCGAAGGGTGAGAAACTCAGTTTTAGGCATCACATGTGGAGCAGCGTTGCATGTTTTAGCCGTCTTATCAACAAAAGGGTTCGATAACAACAGCTTAAATCTGGTTATACTGACTGGACAGCGGATCAACGGTTGTGTATACACACCGAGCGAATTACGTCTGACGCCGTGGCTAATAGAATTAACTAGTTTATTTTCGCCAACGTTTACTGTGCCGGTATCTATTCAGCTGGCCAACGGTCCGTGTTCCCAATACACCCCTGAGACAGTGAGAACATAATCCAAAAGACGACACTTACACCGACCAGACAATTTTGAGACACAGATTTTTGTTTTACTCAACGTTTGAGGACAAAACTCCCCATCACATACCGAACAAATCCTTTGGCTCTAAATTGATGTAATATAGTTTGCAACTCAGCTCTCATAGAGGGTAGTCCACGCACGATTCTAGCCCAACTTCAAAATTATCTCGTTACGCTACCGATTCCCACGGAAGAGGAATTGATTGGGTTTGACGAGTGCTCAAACGATTGATATCGTCTAACACGTAGCTCAGCTGTACTGCGTCAGAGAATTAATTGGACCGGGTAGTTGAGACAGTATACGGAAAATCATTGCCTATCGAGGTCTCACTAATTATGTGATGTAATACATATTCGACAAAAAATATTCGTTTTCTGTTCTTATTTGGGCCTGGATAGTCAGTGCAAAGATACCAACTTCACTGAGATGACATGTTCCACGAGAAGTATGCGGACAAACCTTGTTGATTTATTGGAGAATGTCTCAGTTCCGCACATTCAGTGTATATTTTAGCGCATATGGCTGTTGATGCGACGTATTTCAACACACGTTGCCGTCTGATACCGATGACAATCCAGTCAAAACAGCTCATTGCACCTGAACCCAAATCGTACGAAATTGATGAACTACACTCATTTGTACACGAATTTGGTTTTAGTTGAAGACTTAACGTGCAGTTCGCGAATTGTATTCAAGAGAATATACCACAATATCTAGAATATCGTTCCAACTGAAACAAGAGGAGGATATTTTGCAACGAATTTATTTGAAGAGTATCCGAAACGAGGGAATCCTCTGGGATTCAGCTGAGTCTACCGTTTAATCCAAATTGGTGTAAGAGAGTTGTCTCCTGTAGAGTTTCCCATGGTATGATTGCTGCAACTGCTCGTACGTAGTTTAGGCACTGCACTCAGTGCCTAAACTAGATTTACCCCTTGGAGTGGGTTGGTTGAGTGTATTGAATACGCGTGTTTTATGGCCCGTTTTCATTTCGAGGGCTCAGATAGCTAATTGACCCGAGGTACAAGGATCACATTTTTCTTCCGTGGACGTTTCATGAGACTCAGGTAAGTATTTTTGCCAAACATGTAAAATTTTTAAATATCCTCTCACAGTTTTGGTCAGATATATGCCCATCTCTAGAACTAACAAGATGGTTGTTTCATAATTTCTCTACACTCTCACTCATTCCATTAAAGGAGATGTAGAGTTATTAGCTTTTGAGATGCGAGTAAGCACATCTGTCAGTGTTTCCAGTGTCATAATTCTATTTGGTTTCTTTGGCTACATGAAATTTTTCGTGGGTGATGAGAATAGATGGATGGGCAACGAAATCTAGGGTTTTCATAAAGGAAACTACTCACAAGGTTGCTGAAAACTCTTCGACAGCCCACGACCGGTTTTGCCCTTCTTGGGGCTCATCAGGTAGGCGCAGTCCCCGAGTTTCCGTCAACCTTATGATCTACTTGAACCCAAATTGCACTGTTTTCGAGAAATATACTCATTTGCAAATCAATCTGGTGTTCACCGGAGACTCTATTGAATCTCTCGTTTATGATGTCCTCCAGCTGAATGTGCTGCACACAGGCCACCTCATGATTCAGTTGGCAGAACATTGTTTTAGAATCTCATAAACGAGAGATTCAATTGAGTCTCCCGTGAAAACCAAATTGATTTGCAAATGAATGTAGTTCTCGAAAATCTAGGGTTCTTCAAGAGGACATTGAATGCCATGTCTCTCGAGACACTCGGAATTTAATTAACCGACCGCTTTTTAAGCTGTCGTTACTTTATTTTAGCTTAAAAACCAATTTCGTGTGTGATTTAATCGTTTCTTAAAATTCACATGAAAATTTCGTTGAAAATCTCTTTGAATACTACGAAGCCATCAGTGAACTTGATCATTTAGTTCATCGCACATACATTGAATGACACCAGGGTTGAAACAAAGTGCAACATATTTCTCAGTATTTTCGTTTCATGACTAACAAATTAAAGCTGTAATGGGTTGATAACAGTCAGCTTTTTGGGTAAATATACTCAATTAGAAATCGAAACCAGTGATGCCCACGAACTCATGTTCATGGAATAAAGTCGCATTTGTGATTCACATTATCCCCTACCTGGACCAATAGTTTAAGTCTGATATAACGGATATTCAACTCAGTTCCACATGGCTTTTGGATCATTGGATGTTTCTAGCACGAAAAGCTTTGAGACAACTCACTTTCTTGCGTCCAAATGCGGAATCCATTTGCGCAGAAGTGTCTTGTGATAAACTGACAGGTATAACGAGCTGGAGAACAATCATCAGTATCCACCAAGTAAATGACTGTGGTTGTCACCGTAACAGGGAAACATTGTTGAGAAATTGTCTAAAAGTAATTTTCCAAAGCATCTATTGAAAAATGCTTTACAAAAACCATCATCAATAGAAGCCAAAAGTCACTCCAGAAGGGATTATCCTAATGTGTTTAGGATCTACACCACAAATACGATAGGTTTATTATTCAATCGAAATTTATTTCTTAGATTCTGATTAGCAAACTTGTATGTCCCACCGTGCCCACTGGGGTGATTGTTTATAGTCACTTTCTTTAACCACTCGTACTTCCAGCTTACTTTGCTATGCTGCCATCTAGTAAGCGCTGCCTGCGTTTCTGTCCTACAGACTCAAATCAACGATCGTTGCGGATGTAATGCTATCGAATTTCCATACCGAAACTCTAGCCTCCCATTCTGCTTGGCGATGGGTTCCTTCGTACACGAGGGAAGTTGTGACGTGCAAAGTTTGCAAGGAGCTAGATCAAAGGACACGAACTCTACCAAAATTGGTTCTTTGAAAAGTGAGTGTTTGGCAGAACTGGAACTGGTCAAGAATCATGTGACATGCAAGTCCGATGTGACAAGACACTTTGAAGTAAGTAGTTTGACTTCAGAAGAGTTGGTAAACAACGTTTTTGATAGGGAATCTACGAATACAAAATGATAAAATGCCAACTGAGTTCATCACGTTGAGTGCGATAAGATCGATTCTCCCACTTGATTTTAACCACTTTATTTGCATCTGACCACTTTTTATCTATCATCATGGGCCTGATAGGTAGATTCAAATCAGTCAGTCAAGGTAACCTGGTGACCCGTCTCCATCAGATGACCATAGTTCGTAATGTGTCCTGACTCGAGTCTCTGGCTTTCTTTTATGGCATGATGCTTTGTAAAAATTATGTCCGCCATCTACTGGTAAAGTCATTAAAATAGGGTGTAAAAACAACGGGAAGTCTAGAGCCAAATGTATGTCCTTTATGTCGGTTCATTTGCAGCACCGTTGTTTAGTTAGATATTATAAATAAAAGAGAAATACCCTTGAAAAAAGTCGCTTTCTCGAAGATCCTGACTTGAACATAACACACTAATCCTTGCGTCAGTAAAAGGCAGGAAAGCTTGAGAAACAATCTTGGTCTCCGCGCGCTTATTGCAACCATAACTCATGGTGGATCATCAAATGATCGATCATTTAATTTATGTTCAAAAGGCAGGAAGGCGTACACTATGTCTTTCAGTAAGAAAGAAACTAAGCATGTTTGTTTGCTATCTCCGAGGCGTTTAACAACACACCCAGCTTCGTCGTTTATATGTTAGAGGCGAACTTTCTTTTTTCTCAGTCCGTTCCATCTTGGCTGATATTTTTGTGTAAACATTCATTTTTACAGAAAAACAGAATCTTCATAGCTGAAATCCCCGCAAATTTAGTTACATTCCGAAAGGGGGATTCGGTGAATATCCCTTGATAAAATCGAGCAAACTATGAAATCTGGGTTAGATACGCTTCTTGAATCAATGTGGAGGCTATCGTAGTAATTTGTTCTGTTTGCTATTCAGGCAAGCATTTTAACTCGAATCCAGGGCTCTTTCCTAAATTTTTGTTTGCATTTAACTTTCCGTTGAAGAGAGCTTTAAGTTGATTCAGTGCTTAGCCACATACTGTCGTCAGTCACCAGGATTCTAACCGATATCAATTGTATTACTTTCATAATTATGCCATTGGTTCTAATATGATGTCTCTTCCTTGCGGAATCATTTACGTTTCGCTATCTTTGGAAACTTTGAATTGACCAATGATGTCGCTATCTTTGGAAACTTTGAATTGACCAAATAATTGAATGCCATTCGAATGAGGATACTTTGGGACAAACGACATGAAACATGTAATTTGTGACAAGCACGTTATCGTTCTTATTAAGTGGTGGTCATTAGAGAACTCTAATGCTGTTAGGAAACATGCGGACATCTGAAAATGCTTTGTACGACAATAATCACCACCCAGAGTATCCGAATTAGACTACGTTTCCATAAGATAGTTGAAGGTCAGAAATCATCCAAACTTGTGTGCTTGTTGCAAACATTTTTTGCTCTTTATGTCACAGAATGAATGTGTAGTCACAAAACTCAAACAAGGCAGAATATGACTGTGTTCTTCACGATTTGGCTGTCTATCGGTCGTCTTTTTCTGGACATTTTGCTCCACAAAGCTGAGGATCATCTTCACTGGCTCCAAGATTACTACACGGTAAACCTAATAACATAAACTAATGAAGTAGGTATTGTAGTCTAATTTGATACTTACCTCGCTCCATCTTGGACAGCTGATTTGATTCCAACGAGAATTTTGGTGGTCACGTGAATAACGGTTATGTAGTGGTTTCCAAGCACTTGTGTTTCATCTTGTGTCAAGCTTGACGGAGCAGAGGCAAAGTCACATATGTGTCGAACGAACAAACCTAATTTTCTTGCTTCCCATGTAAGCGAGAGGGTTCCTTTAGCTTACGAAACTAAGTTTACCGTCTGTTTACCTGAATGTGGATAGAGGAAGTTTGGTGCAGGTATGCAGTCGTGACCAAAAGGGCTGGCTGAAAACTCGACAGAAACAGGGTGAATTTCGCATCTCAGCAAGCAGGTTGTGGTGGAAACCATTACTCAGTTTTCGAATGGTGGACATTGGAGCTCTCGGGCTAGAGTGCAAATTTACTGACCTGTCCGTTTCCTAACCGGACCTTATAGTATCCCAGTCCTCGTGCTTCAGCTGAACGATCGATCATCATCACACAACTAAGTACTAAGTGATAGCCATCCACTCGCTTTGTTTTACAACGCAGCCGCGGAAGCTCTTATTTACATGGTCTTTGTATCTGGTTTTAAGTATGGAATACTACCTACAATAGTCGACAAAAACGACTGGAATCATGGCCAGAGGTCTCACGATGCATTCGTTTGTCATCCCGGCACGTTGAAGCGCACACGCGAAATCAAGTCCACTAGTAACCTCGTGCTCTTGTTCTCTGCTCTCATTGAATATTGTCCAACAAACTATATTTTGAGGTCTGTCCACCATTTGATAAAATAACAATCGCTAACGATGTGTACTAAGTGCTTTTCTTCGGCCTAATTCTGCATAAAAAATTCTTACGGTTTTCTTCGCTTGATGTTTCATTTGGCTTTTGATGGAATACAGGAGAACTAGCAAAGTGCTCTTCAGTTAGCATTAGCTGAACAATTATACGACTGTTTATTTCACCTTATGCTGGCTAGAGCAAATCATCGCTCCATAAAGTCTACCGAAGCATTCCACTGAACCGAATTGTTGGTGTCACCACAAAATCTAATCTGAGTATTAGCTTTGCCAGTGGCCAGACTAGTTATGTTGCCAGTATATACATTGTGGGCCAGCACCCGAAAACCAAACAGCTCGATTGAATTTGTGACTTGAAGAGAACACAGAATATCGCAATAGTTCGCTTTGTGGCATCTGTTGTTTCCTACAGACTGGATAAAATAAACTAGCAAAAATTGAGTTACTCTCCACAAGTTTGATAGCCTATGAATGTCCTCAAATTATAAGTGCAATACAAAGACATTGGTCGGTTTGGAGATACCAGTATTTTGGAGGTAATGTTTGAACATCAGACATTTCCATGGTACGTCTGTTAATTTTTGTTAGTGTGTTTCACGAAACACAGCAAAAATATCCGGAAGCTTTTCTAAAACTGCTCCACGTTCATCCTTCTTTGAAAAAAGGTTGACTCGGGTATCTACGTACTTTTGAGCTATTTGTTGCAGTATACTTTACCACAGAACACTACAACTATGTATTTATTAAGCCTAAGTAAAACGAACCCCGTCCAGAATTTCCTTATGCTCTTTTCATAAGAGTGTAATTCAGCTACATTTTGATCTAAAAGGCGCTAAAAATAGATTTTCTTAAGGTGCTTGGGAGTCTTTTTTTAGTTACTCTGAATAAGTGAATCACCCGGACAACGCGAATTGCTCAACTTCAGTGGCAAGACACAGAGCAAATGTCTACTTATATTGGCAGGAAAAATCATACCCCATCTAGTGAATTATCTGTGACTGATTCAGAACAACGGAACAATTCAACTAGTTGATTTTTTGAGAATATGCTCACCCCGCAGTCTTCACTGCAATAGTCCAACACAGTGAGAGAATAAGACAGTAGAACTCAATTTAAACTGGATTTTGTCTGGTTTCACGACGCACCAATTACCCGTTACACATATTATTTTGTGGTCCATATGTTGGTAAAAGAAACAATGACTTCATACGGGCATGGGTATAATCACTTTCGCTCTGATATTGATCTGTATAACTAGGGGGTGCAGGCAGGCGCGTAGAGCAGGACAGAAGAGACTTGAAATTTACCCGCATTTTTAATTTCCCATGTTATTGTTTCACTGTGGTGATGACATGGTCCAGTAGTTAAGATGCAAACTCACGGCCTAAATTCCAACCCCGCACCTCGAATATTCCTGTCTACGCTCAGGCAACCTGGTACTATCTCATCTCTCATGCTTCCTTCAAGTAACATAGTATCTAGGCATCGAAGGCGTGTTTTGGCTGAACAGGGCGGAAATATTTTAACTTGACACCATCATTCTGACGAGAATTCACTCGCTTTGTTATTGAACGAAATAGTTGCGATCCTATGCACAACAGAAAATGACAAGAGTGGAGGTGGGATTTTACTTACTGCTGAAATCTCCCTTCATTTCACACATTTATCTTTTATTGTACGCGACTAACAGTAAAATAAGTGTGGCTGCATTGAACCTGAAGATGATTGCAGTTTCGCGCTCTGTACGCATTATTACACAGTTCCTGTATTGCACTTAACAGCCATCCTAAAAAGCTAGGTTTCGGCAAGCATGCAAACTGTTGACTACAGTGAAAATTCACCAAAAATTCAACGTTCGCTTTGACGTGGTTTCAACCAAGCAATCCCGAATTCGGAGAGGTGTCACTGCTGTGCCATCCGGACACCAAACAGTATTACTGTCTGACTTGTATTCATCACCCAATCTTTTATAGGGAAACAATAGACGAAAGTTGTAGACCTTTCTGGATTCGTCCTTGAAACCCATCCATCAGCGATTGACTTTTCATTTTTTCACTAGCAAGGATTACAAGCCAGCAACAATGACAAGTTCCTTCTGTCTGAATTGGACTGATCTATCAAACGCAGAATGCTTGGAACTTACTGAGAGATTGTCTTCTCAGAAGGGTACGGTAAACAGTCGGTAGTCTATAGCTATGTAACGTTTCACTTAGTCACCTACTTACTTGGCTTGTTGAAGTATTCGTGTCAAAACTCGTATTCGTGTTACAAAACTATCGATTGTTCATCAGCCTCTTCTGAAACATGGACTGATCAATGTTCATTTGAAGCCTGAGACCGACTATGATCTCCATATCCATTACCATCTAGGGTGACGTTGTTCCATCCTGCACGTTGCCATGCCAGTTCTTCTCCTACGAAACCGACCGCTCCACCTCCACTTGGCCAACCAAATCCTGGCAGCTAGGCTGGTTGGGTACGAGAGCGGGAAGGATGATTTTGGACAGACCGGAACTGGCCTCTTACCGCGAAGCCAGGGACCTGATGCAACAACCGAATGGAGATGTTCGTGCACAAACACTGCTATCCCAGACCAATGTTTTGGAAAAAAATCTCCTGGCGATAATGATCATCCGGCCGAACTTCAACTTGCATAATGTAAGTTTCCAGTGGAAAGCGAATAAATATCTTTATCGCCAATAACTTGGATGGGCGTGACGTTTGGGTTCAGCACATCCTATGCTTCTTGATCCTGGGCTTCTACATTCAGCCATCCGGTGTGGTTCCTATAGTGCTTTCAAAACTCTTCCTGAATTACAATCCAGGCAAGTACAAAATTGTGCAATAAAGGGTTAATCGATACTGCACTACGGTAAAACGATTGGTTCGCTCGTCTGTTCACAAGCCAGATGGACAACGAATTAAGTAACCTTACAGTTCGAATTGTATCACAATATGAGAACACCAATGAGGATCTCGTTGGGCACTGTAAACTGAATTGAAGCTTGCCAAGGATACCCTCTTAAAACCTTCTATTTTCCACAAGTGATGAACGCAAAAACGTCATATGGGTTGAAAAATTAATGGACGACTGGAAAGAAAACTACATGGAATGAACAAGTTACTTGTGAGTAGTTACAAAATTGACAGAAGATGCTGACTGGTACTGGTTACTAGCTAGAGTGGACCATTCCTGTCAAATTCCGCCCACTGAAGAATGACTCGTTTGCGAAGTACACTTATATGCACATCAGTCTGGATTAGGCTGGAAATGCAAATTGAATCTCCCATTTGCGAGTGCTCAGTCAAGAGTGTCGAAACCGAATGCTCAGAATATTGAACGTTCAGGGGTTTCGTGCTCAGCCCAGCAATTAGTGGTTTCCTCCGAAAAATCGGTGCACGTGTAACCAAGCCTAACTGGTCAAACCGAGAGACGAATCACGTGAAAAGAACTCGAATGTCTTGATCATTCAGAGCGTTACTCAACTTTCGTGGAACTGACCCATCATCCAATAGGAGCGTTAAATGCATTGACATTATTAGACTGACGGACGCGGAAACCACATACCTACACACCATTTTTCGTTTTGGAAACAAGAGTTGGTCCGTTATCGTCAAAAAGTTTGTCAGAATGAGACCCATAGTTTTTACTGCCAGAATGTTGGATTTCACGGAACTTAAGGTTGCCTTATGTTGACAGCGGACCAATGAGAACGAATTGCCATCCTGAATTATGCGCTTGACGACTATCGGATGGACAGATTAGTGTTTGTCTAAATACTCAAGACGTATACCTTGGTTATCGTTCAAATTGATTTTACCTGGCAGAAGCGGAGTTGCATGCATTTTTGGTGTACTGTAAGGAGTACTCTTCGGAATAGTCTTGGAATTTTTTATTATAAAAAATACTGAAGAAGACAACTCACTGTTCGCTGCAAGTGTCGTTGGCCAGTACAGGTTAGAGTTTAATATATGATGCTCTGCTCTTTTTACTTTCTCACAACCCTACTTATGGTGTATTATTCTTGCTCTATGACTGGATAATTAGGACCAATTCTATGCCGTCTAGGGTATTATGTCTAAAATTCCATATTGCCATATAAAGCAAAACCCGTGCGTTTGTGGAACTCCATAACGCGAAACCAAAACGGGCAAAACTTCATTTCTAGTGAAAGTAAACCCCAAACAACAATTATTTTTAGTGACGCTTTCAGATATATGAAGCGCTGGATCACCGTTTTACAAGTCTAGCAAGACTTGCCAGTGGGAAAACGAAAGATGACATTGCGGTTACTTCAATCATAAAATGGGTCTTAAACGGCCTGGGCATTGGTCAAACCTAAAAAGGTATTTTATAGAACAAGGAACAACATGCCACAGTAAAGTGAATGGCCAAGTGTGGTAGTAGCTGAACACAGTATTCGGCATGTCTTAAGTCTCTGACAGGCAACACAAAGCACGATCTGTCTAAGATGATCAAACCTCCACCTTCAGTAATTATTACTTCATGCACCTATCGACAGTCATCATACAGTGTTCTAGCCACTTCTCACATCGAGCAGGACACGATCTTCTCCCCTCTGTTCTTTGGTAAATGATAAGACGGAAAGCCACTGATAGGCCAATAGCGTATCTCTTACGTCCATTTGCATCGAAGTCTGAAACCACTAAGTTTCTATTTTTCTCTGCTTCCTGTTTTCACTTAGTCAATACACACTTGTGCACTCCGTTGCAGGCCGATGCATGGATGTCCAGGCTTTATGGGCCGTTTCGTCAAACGTCAGTGGGCATTTTGATGATTCTGTCATTTTGCTTTTTGGAAGAGCAGAGTGTCCAAACTATGGTGATGGCGCGATTATGCCTTGTGTCATTTACTGAAGTGAATTAGAGGCCAGGTTCATTTGGAACGTGTGATACCTAACATCCATTAGTTAGGCCAAATATGGACTGGAGCTAGGCACGTAATATCCAAATGGATGTGTTTTGATAGATGAAAATAGGGAACATGTATCAGGACAAACTGTATTGCAAATAATCATACCGCTTAGTACGTCTGTCCCCAGGCCAGCGTAAAGTATCAGTGAAAAAGACTGATGACACCATTGGACCATCGATGCATTAAGAGATATTGGATGAGCAAAATGACAATTTTGCCGATCCGGATTGGCTGTCGTCGAAACGTTCACCCCGACATTATGGGCTGACGTGAAGTGGAAGGGAATTGCAGGGAAAGGAAATGATCAGTCACTTGTGATTGATCACAACACGCGGCTTAGATAAAAAGACTCTGAATTTCAAGAACTGTAGACATAAGGGAACTTTGGATTTTCGGTTTGACTAATTCAGACAACCATTTGTGTGAAAATGTAAACAAACTGCAGACAGAGAGTAAAGATAACTTTCCGAAAAATTCTTTCTCGAACCCATGAGATAATAAAACAATTATCGGGAGGTTTGTCAATCACACATAGTTGTGATTAACGAGGATTCCACATCGGTTGGTTTCTCCTGGGTCAACTCGTAGTCACCACACTAACCATCCGGCTGCTAAGCAATTCGTCCAAACTGACCAGAGTGGCCTGAGCTTACGAATTAGGTGTTCTTCTTTTGAACCGTGCAAGCAAGGTGCGAAGCCCTCAACGGTTGCCAAAAATAGCAATCACATAGTTTTATAATATTGGAGTGGTGTGCGACGGACGACTACGAATGTTAACTTCGACCACATGCCCAACAGCTGCATTCCTTGTTTTCAATTAATGGCTTTTAATTAACCAGACGGGGTAATGGCCATGTTGTCTCTACTCAGCTGCACTATTCAAGTCGGCAGACAGTATAGACTGATAAACGGTGTAGCAATGGGTCTGTCATATGGTCACCTATTCACTGACACGAATGACCGAATTAGAAAGCGGAGGATTATAAGGCACCAGTGAGCTGTGTAAAGAATGTTGATGACAACTTTACTGCACAACTCGGTCGTGTGGATGTTCTATGAGAACAACTTCACGCACGAGCTAACTAACCTGAGCTGTATGCCATTTCTTAAAGTGCGCTTAATTGGCCGGACTGAGAGGTACCTTTCGCAACCTATGTACCGTAAGCAAACTACAGTCAACCAATGCATCAGCTTGTCAAACGTTGTTCTCTCAAAACGCACAGGTAGTATAGATAACAGTTGGCACAAACAGCCCTAGGGTTTGCCCATCAGACAGTCTTGGATCTAAGCTACTAATTCAGAAAGCGAATCTTACACAGAACATTTACTCCAACAAGTTTACTGGTAATAACATGCACCAACCAGGGAGAAAAACCAATTTCATTATCAGTGGAAGAGGAAGCACTGTTTATCGAACTGCAGTTTAGGAACAAAGTCTTTAGGAAACCCGCCGCCACACGAATTTTGAAAATCGTTAGTCAAACTCCGTACAGCAGTAACAGTGATTCACCTTGCCGGTCAGACTACAGTTGTTCGAAATCTGAAGGTCAGGGTAAAATGACTGCAAGTTTATGTTTAGTTATTTCAGCCTATGTGTAATCCTGGTGCACCAGACAGACCTCGGATATCCCGCTTGGCTAGTTAAAAGCCGGTAAATGAAAGTAAAAAACGTAGTAGTTGAAACTTTAGTCAACACAAATCATAATGCGGAGCGGAGATTGGTTTTCCTAGTCGCCTGTCATGTACCAATTCAACGTTCCAATACTATCTGGTTACTACTCCTGGCAACGCCTGAGAGCCTCGCAACTTGCTCGCACCGTTCAGTTCCGTGAAAGGAAAAACAACTTTTCAGTAAGCTCAGGTCACCCTTGTCTATCTGGACGAATCGATTAACAGCCGGATAGACAGCTCGGCGATTATGAGTTGACCCGGAGGGAATCCATTCGATGTAGTATATATACTGTATGACGACTAACCACAACGATGTGCGGTCGAAAAAGCTCCCGAAAAGTGTTTTACACTCATGTAATTGCATGGGTTTGAGCGATCTTTTGTCAGAAATGTATCCTTATTCTCAGCCTGCTTTCTACTAAGGTTCGATGGGTATTCTATAGAGGAGAATGTTGGTTGCTCAGGTAGCGTAGATGGTGGTTGGTTTGTTCGCTGAGCTAGGTAATTTGATTGCAAACGGTTCGTCACCTATCGAGGTGATATCATCAGTGTGTTATTGGGGAACGTAGTGGTACGTAGCGGTGGGTTTGTGCTTGTGCGTTGAGTAGGGTCACGTGTGTGTTAATATACGTGCTGCTAGCCGGGGATGATCTTTGATCGCGATTAGTTGTTCGGTCGGGCGGTTCCATTGGTTGCTCCGTTATCCTGTGTTCTAATTCGCCGATGCCCACATGAACTTTGAGCTTGGCATCTCCTGCCGTCGTAATCTGTTCGATGCTGGAGTAACCTTTGTCCTTTCGATCCCCGGCGTGAGACCCAAGGAGTTCCTGGTTTCTTTGTTTGTGCATCCAATATTCGGTCCTCCTTGAGTGTTCCGGTTGAGATGTTGGTTTTTTTGCAGGTAGACGTGCGTAGATTGGATCCATTTCGATGCACCGGTTGATCAAATCTGCCGTGGAGTACCATAATTCCAGAAATTCTCTTCCGTGTCTGTAACAAATTCTACGTCGGACCAACTGGGAGGAAATCATGCACATGAATAAAGGAACACAACACGACTGTCAGGAGATATGACCCCCTGTCCTAGATATCCATAAACGAGGAACAAGAAAGCCACAAGTTCGATCTGCAAAACGCAAAAATTCTGACATACGGAAACACGACACAAAATAACGGAGCAACCAATGGAACCGCCCGACCGAACAACTAATCGCGATCAAAGGTCATCCCCGGCTAGCAGCACGTATATTAACACCATCCCCCGCTAGCAGCACGTATATTAACACACACGTGACCCTACTCAACGCACAAGCACTAACCCACCGCTACGTACCACTACGTTCCCCAATAACACACTGATGATGTCACCTCGATAGGTGATGAATCGCTTGCAACCAAGTCAACGAGTCAACGACCATTCGATGGGCATATTGGAAGTTTGACCTGATTAGTCATGGATCCTCACATTGGGCCAAACAATCATCAAATCAAGTGCTTGGAATCCTACTGGATTTTCAGCCTGAGGTCTTGACTGGGTGCCGAAATCTCCAGCCACAAAAACGTCTTCCTCTTTATTGAGAATCCTCACAAAAATATAGCAAAGTCATTCGCGTGACCATCTGAATAAATGCTTCAAACCTCACCTCTCTATCTGAGCTCAATAACTTTATTCACAAAGTGGTTTTCGGATACCGCTTCTAAATCCTGCGGAAGCCTCTACTTTGCATTGTCCGCATTATACTGCCCCTAAAGTTGGTCCTACAAGGAGTTCGGGGCCACATTGGATTCGGGTAGCGTTGAGAGGATTGAGTGCAATGTGGTGTAGAATGTAAAAATTGCTTGTAGAAATTCCTAGAAAAACGTTGCCCACTGCAACCAATACGTTGGATTATTACATCTTATCCCATGACGCTGTAATTTGACTTGGAAGATCCCATAATAAACTATTCGTCTCTTTTGAAATTCAGGTTGAAGAGAAGGAAGTTCTGTCACTCACAAGTTTGTTATCTCAGACGGGTGGTCTACTATCCATTTGGATTGGGATGAATATCATGTCTGTGATTGAACTATTCGAATTGTTGGTCCACTTGTTCGGTACGTGCAAACAGCCAGAGAACAGAAAGAATATGAACAAGGATTCAAGCCACCAATCAAGGGTCGTCCGAAATGAGCAAGAAGAGACCGAGGATGGAATGCACATCGCTGATAACCTATACAACGGTAACGAAGAAAGGATCTCACAAAACTCTATTATCCAGCATCCGAAAAACAACAGCAACAACGCTTCCAATCGCCGACTCAACAAACGCCGAACAAAATGTTTGAAGAGGACGACGTGTCAGCGAGCGAGGCCGTCTTCTACTAATCTCGAATGCTCTGAACGCTCCTTACCGTAATTCCTATCTTTGTGTCCCTTCCAAATTCCAAACCACCAGATTCTTCGCTTCTTTGTAACCGAAGAACTGGTACCAGCATGCTGTACGGCAACGGAGTATCTAACTGAAAATCCTGTATGACATAAAATTCCCGACAATGAATGGACCACCTTATGTATTTCCTTCGAATCACACCATTGTTCACTTCCGTGTATTCGTCGATGGCTTCAAAAATCGATATGCGTAGATACTATCCTAATTATGAGTGTGCTGAAAATTCTTCGGCATTGTTTTACTAGATTCGCCCTTTTATGGCTCGTCATGAGAACTGATAGTGTAAGCCAGACTCATTTGAACCTTACTTTAGTCTCACGTTAACACCAAGTCTGCAGAAAGCTGTTCCATTCTACACTGAGGTGAATTCAACATATCTGTCAAGATGAACTGAACAGGGTCAGACAGTTAGCTGCTAATAATGATGATGATAGGATTGGTTCAGCTTTTGCATCCTTTCGATGCCTGGATTCCATATCACCCAGAGGAGGCACAAGGGCCGAGATACTGCCAGGTTGCCCGAGCCTAGACAGAGGTTGCGTTTCAACAAGGGCCGGATACTGCCAGGTTGCCCGAAGCCTAGACGAGGTTGCGTTTCAACCGTGGACCTTCCGGTTCGCGCCTTAACTACTGAGCAATTTTGAGCTCCCAGTTAGTTGTTAGCCAGATGTGACACATTGAGTTAAACTGTAATGCACTATACTCGGCTTATGTGAACATTATTGCAGCGCAAAAAACTTTCACAAATATGCCAGGGATAAAAAATCCGGAAACATCGTGGCAATATACTGGGACATCACTAGACCAGATTTTGAAGGAAACCTCAAACTAACACCGTCCTCTCTGATACTAATTTTGATATATTGTACGTCACCTATGCCGTCTTTTGGAGTAGAATTACAGCCTTCTTGTTGTAACCACACCGCTTTAATAGATGGCTCGGTAAAACTCGACGAACACCACAAACCCTGCAATAAGTAGCGTAATATAAAACAACCGCAACCTGATAAAGGTCGAGCCTAATTGGTGGATCACGAAAACATTGAAATTTTGCGGTGAGAGCATGGGGCCACTGTTGTTAGATCCTAATATGGCCGTCGATTCTAACGACGCTTAACCAGTTTCCTTTATTACGTCACGGTCAACGTTTTCGTATATTGTGTGCAAACATCCCCGGGCAAATTATCCAGCATTCGTCTTCCAGCCAGTTGACCTCTGTTGAGAGTCCTACCAGAGGCAGGCTGTCAGTACAAACGTACCGCTGATTCAACGCCAATTCCGAGATCGATAAACTTCCTAGACCTTCCTTTAATTTATAAATGGGAACAGGAAGTCATTGCGGTAACCAAACAAGGAACAGTTTGAAGCAGATCCAAGAACTCTGTGTTCTCACGAACAACATCTTGGAGAATAACTGAAATGTTCTAAAGGATGCAGCAGTAAACATGATGAGAGGTATCCAGCGATTCCCTTAGTTCGTGACGTAAGGTATGAGTTAATCGTACAAAAAGCAACACGGTTTTTATAATGATGAAAATGTTTTTCCTAAACTTGGACAAGTCCATTAACCTATCCGGTCCGCACAGTAGAGACCACAGAAATTACTTCTCGCACCACTGCAGATTTATCGCCCTGGGATACCCTGAGAACAAAAAGAGTAAAAAATTAAAATATCAACAGACTGCTGCGGCTGCACAACGTTCGGTGGTTAATCACGGTTTAATTTGTCCCTGGTCCATTTGAATTTTATTCACTTCGAAATGCTTAGTTTGTGAATACAGTTTGTTCAGGAACAGACAGCTGAACACGCTATTCCCTGATTCGAGTAGGCTGATAACCTACACTAGTTAGAACTCGAGCGTAAAATTACTAGCCACGGTTCGGTCTGTTTTGATTATGCGGCGACGGTCACGGAGAGTTTGGTGGCAAACTCTCTATTATCAGTCTGGATGAAACCATCAGTGCGTAGCGGAGCAGAGGCACATCGTAGTTTAGCGACGCGCCAGCTAACTACATACCGCTATTGTTAATATAAATTTTACAAGTGAATAATTCAGTTGGACTACCGACATTCTCTGTAATAACAAATATACCAAGGAAGAGATAAACTCTATCTGAATAACCGTAGATGCGTTGACCAGCTTCCTGACTTCAGCAATTGAGTGAATCCGTCCATTAGCGGTTGGTCACCCACGTCATTTGAAGCTACTATTGTTTTTCACTTCGCATGAGCTCATCAAGACACTTTTTGCATTGTATGTCGCTCATACCACCAACCATCTAACTTCTCTCATCGGCCATCCATATCAGGTTAACTCCGTCACACTTTATATGGTCCGTTGAGTTGATGATAACTGTCTCGTGGCAAACATTCTCATGCGGTTGGTCCCGCTTAACTACACTTGCCACTTTCACTCGACCCCGTTGCGACTGTTAGCAAAGGCCATATTTCAGCCCTGACAGACTATGGGGTCGCGTCGGTTTTCTTCACTTTATCAATTAATCTAGCTAAGATGAACAATTAGTTCCACCTGATTGACCTTTCGGTGGCATATACGGCGACATTTCAGTCTAATTTTCTGATATCATCAGAGAAACAAACAGATAAAAAGCGTTATAATCAGTATACGCCATCAATCATGCAAAATAAATAGAGTATATAGATGAACATGTTTTCGTGGAGCACTAGAAACGTTCCTACATCAGTGCCGGTCAAATCAGTGAGGTCAATGAATCGGATTGGCTGAGTCATGAAAGTGGAATCAGACGCATTTAGGCCCTTCAGTTTTTTTCTGGGCACTATCCCCGATAAATTCAATATAACATTAAATATCGTGATAAGCTTATTATTGCCAGTATACACTTTCAATCAAAAATTGCTTTCCTTTCCCATGTGCGAAACACGCAGTCGTGTAGAAACCGACGAGTGACTATAATATGATTATTTGGGTGATCGATAACGTGAATGAATCGAGACCAACTCAACTGGACGGCTTGACAAGCAATGAGTGAAGCATGCACCCAGTTTAGCCGGAAGGTTTTGACAGCAGCGTTCATTTATGCAATTAGTCAACTAGCTGCATGGATGTTCACTAACCCAATATTTTCCCCTCTGCCTCGTGTGATACAACTGTCGAATTTTGTATTTAAAAAAGACAGCTCCTAACACTCTGTCAAACAGATCGAGATGTGAATTTCGACTCAACCAAATTTTTAGTGTATGCGGATGTGGTGGATGGCAGTATGTGTGATTTGGCATTTTGGTACTACAAAAAAAGCCCACTGAATGATTCGGATAGTCAAATCGATGATACACTCTGACTACGGTCGGATGCATTACCAATGGATGATAAGAAATCACTCTAATCATCACTTGTCTCCAAAAACAATTTGCCTTCTTTGTTTCATATTGCGTTTGTCATTGTTCAAAGAATCGTGATGGTATCTTCAAAGTGTTACTAAAACCCCACCGGTATTGAGTAATACCCGCAGAACTGTTGCCAAACTTTACGGTACTGTGTTATCAAGAGGCAGAACAACGTATGTCTAATATGGGTTTTCCTATGTCAAAAACTATACCGCGAAATCAATACAAAAAACATCCGGCAGTGCCATAAACCCCGACAATCCGATGAGGGAGAACGTTTAAAAGTTAGAGCGTGCAACAGAGACAGAGTCGTGGTTTGGGTTATCGGCTCAGCGGTACAAAGCAGGCGATGAAGTAGTTCGGGTTTACAGATCCCGGCGGTGCAGGTGCTGGGTTGAAGCCAGATGCTCAAGGTTTGGTCAGCGACAATATAGAGATAATAATAATGATGATAATAACAGTAACAATAAAGGATTATGAGTTTAAGTTGAGCATGAAGATGGTTGAGCAGGAGTGATTGCTGAGGTCTGTGGAGTACTTTTTGTTCGTTTGTGGTCATTTAACACATGGGGCCACGTTCCTCTAACGAGTGCTCATATATAAGGACCAGTGGGTTAAATGTTGCATATTACTGCTCCAAGTTGATATACTGTGGCCAACACAAAAGTCCCGGGGTGAAACGTCCGTGTACGTCATTCGATGTAATCCTCGTATGGCAGAGTGACTACAATTGAACATCGGTGGCAGTCCGAACAAATGGTTTCTTCATTGGCTTTTGCTGACCGACCACCAAGCCGCACTCAATCTTAATACAGTACGCAATTCAGAGGAGGCCAGACAAGCTTGGCAGCCATTTTCGTGACTAACGACCTTTTGTTCTTTTGTATGACTTGGCACATGTGCCTCCAGAAACACAAAGATAGACAATGTTGAAGAAGGTTAGTGTTCAGGAGCAAGACTCTGACAGAGAATTCAACTCGAACCTTGCAATCTGAAACGAACTGATAAATATCGCGCTGGGATTCAATTCACTATTCGAAAGAACTTATCAAATAAAGTTCAGTAAACTGCTATCCACACACTGCCATTCTACGAAACCACACAAAGTCAAAGTCCAACTTAAACGAAAGTGAAATAAATCCTGTATACTGAAGAACAATACGTTATATCACATAAATAACAATTTTCTGTCACAATGTAGGAAGCGACGAACAGTCGCTCTCAGTCGCTCAAGCCTGTCGATACTGAGGACCAGATGGTGTGCATTTCCCTGTGTTCTGGAACCCATTAAATCCAAAAGAGACTGGTTTCTATGGTGATTCAGTAGAAAATTTTCAGTAAAAAACCTTTCACTCACTGACATTTAACCGCAACACCTCATCGGTTGTCTGCAACTAACACAAGGTGGGACTACTATGAATTTATTCCCGACAGTAGCCTGAAGACAAACGGTGATGACATTTTTATATAATCGGTGACTGTGATAAATCCGTAGTTGACTAAGAACACGTGCACAAAAATGGTCCTTTGTTATATTGCTTATGGAGGTTAATGCAAGGTAGTCAAAACACCGATGAGAGATACCAAATTTAGCCCATATTGCTTTTCTCCTATTTGTACACTGTGCTAAAGCTGTTTGCACCAAACCATGGGACTATATTTCCATCAAATTAATAAGGGCCTGGTATTTAACTACAGCCTTTTCCTACACTCCCCGCACATCACGGTCGCTCCATTTGAAAAGACAGGGCATTTTCCGTAAATGAAATGCTTCACATACAAAGAACGGAAAACATATCCGAGAGGATAGCCTCTCTTATGTACTTTGATAAAATTAACTCAAAATGAGGTACCTCTCCCAGTTAAGGACACACGCTAGCCTCCGCGGCTCTGTAATGTCCACTCAGCGAAGACTTAGGGATTACTCAAATGCTTACAAGAAACTCCAACTAGCGAACACACTTCATCTGTCGTGAGACGGCGACGCAGAAGTTATCTGTAAGCTTTCACAAAACGAGATCACTGACAGGCACAACTAGTGACGAATTATGAACTAAATTCAAACCAGCTCTGTTATTCTGAATCAAAGTAAATATCAGTATCCACCTTTCAAAGCATGATCTTAATGAGCTATGTGTTCTTCATCCTGTCTGATGAATAATCAATACACACGCAGACGAAAATGACTCAGAGCTAGGGGTTTTGTAATTAACGACTTCTCGCTGAGAGGTACAAGTGTGGGATCCCTGCGAAACTTGCTTGAAAGAATCCTGCTGTGTCCAGGGGAGGAAAATAGTTAGGAACTACCTCCTCCCAAGAGAGGAGGTCATCAGCCTTCAATAGGATTTCCTGCCTTTGGAGGGGCACCAAACACCGACCTAAGGATTCCGCAAATCGACCTCCCAGTGACTGACTTCACCCCTTCCTCACAAAAACTATGTAGAAAGTGTAGCAAAACCCCACATGCTTAGGGGGTCAAGCAACAATTTAAAAAGGGATCAGTTAATCGGTGAAAGCTGGCCCATGGATGGCTTTTAGCTGTTCTAAACCCAAAAAATTAGATGAATGGTGGTCTCAAACCACAAACCAGGAGTGTATTGTGTTTAACAGCCCCACACTGTGATCAATAGTATCAATCTAGACATCCGTTCTCCATGTCTAAACCCCTGAGCTCCGATATGACCAATCGTCGTCTTACGATAGATGTATACCGCAAAATATTCAGCATGCACCTAGATCTACTCTAAATAAGAACGCGTCTGGTACTAGTAAAGACAGTCCTACGCCAAATCAAATTGTAGTGTATCGCATATCCACTGTCTATATGGAACGGTATTTCACGGAGAACTGACCAATACTTAACCGCAAAATCTGGTGCGGGAAAAGATACAAGCTCAAATTTGTTTTGGGGATGGCAGCTGGGAAGTGACCTTTAGGTAGAACGAGCTTATAAGCTGTTCTTTTGCTCAGAAACTCCAAATTCCCTCCGCCTACAAAATAAGATGATGATAACTCTAGACTCACAACTAAAATTGACAACAAATTTTTTGGCAACTTAAATTTTTCGACATCGATTTTCAACAACGAAGTAATAGGGATGGAAATATGGTGACTAAGCTTATTTGATGAGCCCAAAATGGGCGAAACAGGTTGCCAGCTTATGCATTTTTCATTCAATGTCACGATTTTTTTGTTTTCACTGGTCTCGATCGTCCTGACATGTTCTCACTTGTCAGTATCAACAACTTCGAGGAGTTTCTCCACGTTCGAATCGTCTACTGTCAGATATTAGTAACACTTTTAATCTAGAGACACCCACGCAAATACCTAATAACGGTGCTTATTGACAACCATGATTGGATGATATAAATGTCACTTGCGCCAAACTATTTTCCGCTAAAATATCTAACTCAAAATGATTCCCTGACAACCCCAAGATGTACGAATGAACCATCAGTCTTTAGTACAAGTCTGATGAACCATGAATGTTTCGCCATTTTCATCACCCATCACGCTTCTGAAAGATTATCACCAGATGGTATGGTCCATTGAAAATCCAATAAAATAATTTCCAATGAAACTAGTTACCAATGAAGTCAAGGCGGTCCGCACACACACATCTGTTGGGAATCATCACCAGAATCATAACCCCACTAATCCCCAAGGCGATTCAAACCTGCATCTCAATGTATCAGCGCAGGTTAACTTTGATGGTGAGCTTAATTTTTTTAATCCGTATTTACGTATTCGTATTTACGTACAGCCCAAAAGCTTTATTGTAAGTAATCTACCATTTTCTTCGAATCAGGAATTGGTATTCAGGCAGGTGCTTTGGATCGGAGCCAGACTGGATTTATTGAATAGATGTTTTCTCAGATCATTGAAGATCGGTCCCCCTGCTTCTTTTCTAAGTTCCTCGTCCGGTTGCTTGTGCAGTTCAGGGCTACGTGGTTTTTTTGTGTTTTCTTGCTCCTCCCGGTCGACAAATAGGGTCAATTCCAATATGCTTGTTGATAGCTTCTTCGGTGGAGTAACACGCTTCCATAAATTCGCGCAGATTATTCGCTCCCGCTTCAGCCAATGTGCGAGCGTCACTCCAGTCGAACTCGTGCGTGATTTGTGTGCACGGGGATGAGAGAAAATTGATCGTGTCCTTTTGTAACGAGCTTATGTTCATGTGTTCTTGTGGAGAGCTTCCATCCTGTTGTCCTATATATCGTTTGTCGCAGTCTTTGCATGGGATCCTGTATATGGCACTGTTCTTCCTCATTGGATTTAAATTTCCTTTCCGGCTCGATAGTGTCCTCAACAAAGTGTTCAACAGGTTTGTGCTGTCGTAATAGCCTCGTGATCATTTCGGCGCGTGAGAATGTTCAGTTTTAAAGCCTATGTGTATATAACATGTTTACTTTCCTTTCTAATAACTTGTAACTGCTTACTTCGTGCTTACTAATGAATGATTTTGCAGCGGAGGTTTTTCCTACTTCCACTGGTACTATGCGTTCAACACATTTTGACTGAATCCTTATGATTAGCATGGCATTGATGGTGTGGCCGACTGCGCGCATCCAATAGATGTCTGCTTTACGGCATGTTCGCCATACACGATAGCTAGGACACCTCCAGACCGAAAAGTACATGTGCAGAGAACGATGTGTCTCAAACGCCATCACTGGATAGCATGTGCGTTGGCGCAGCATACTAAACACGGCTTAGCAATATACAGGCAGCGGGGTGGGAGTGAAAATGGCCAGGGCAGGAACGCAGCGATTGGCTGGACAAAAAAACAAGCCAGTGACCATATTTGGTCAACTAGCCATCCTGTTTTTACGCATTAGCTCTGTATGTTTGGAGGGCAGCACAGCTGTGATTTTGGTCTCCTGTCTCCTCCTTGTCACGTAGTCCGGCAGACCCGATCCAGGCGTCACCTACAGATGTTCTCACGCTACAGCGATCGAAGATGTCAAGGGAAATTCCAGCACACCTCTTTTCTCATTCCAAAAAACTGGATGATGTGCNAAACTGGATGATGTGCGAATTTGATTCCTGCTTACAAAAACTGCTACCTTGAACTTTGTTCCTTACAATCAAATTCTTTCTCAGAAACGCGGTGTGTTATATACTGATCCCAATGTAACGTTATAGGCTGTATTATAAAAACCCACCGATATTCGGATGTATGAATTCATTGTTGACTTGGCTTACATACAAACAACGACCAAAAGCCATTAGGAAAACCGTAGAAATTCCGTACGAGTCAATCTGTGTTTAGGTTAGGAGGTAAATTTGGTTTAAAAAATCATGAGAGATATTAGGTCTTTTTTGTAGGCTTCCTGAAGACAGGGAACCTTCAACGTAGGACACAAGCCTTTCTCCACATTGTATGCTGTTTTCGGAGGATAACTGTAATGAGGCGAATGAGTGGGTCGTTCTGGTGTCTGACAGCAAGTGCAGAGATGTGAATCGGGAAACCTAGAAGAGGCTGACCTTAGTTCGTGCCACAAAAGCGCCTAAACGAGTGGAGTTTGGGTTGACCATAGTTATTTCACAGTGAGCAATAACCGACTGG